ACAAAGACTCTCCTTGAAGGATAATCTTACAGTTGTAAAAATAACCAGAAAGTCCTCTTTTTCAGTGGAAAGGAAAATGGCATAGAAATTTATTTGGGCATTAACAATATTAACCATCTTTAAATAGTTTTTTTTTGTGTGTGCTATGTAAAGATTGTCAATATTTAAAAAACTGTTTTCTTTTGCTTCTTAAAGATTTATTTTTATTTTATAGCTGTGTCTTTGTATGTGGATGTTAGCATGTATGCTGGTGCCCACAGAGGCCAGGAGAGAGTGTCTGATCCCCTTGGAGCTGGAGTTACAGGCAGTTGTGAGCTACACAGCATTTGGGGAATCCAACTCCAGTCTTCTGCAAGAGCACTAAACACTTTCTGAGTCATGAGATATGACTCAGCTCCATTCTGGTTTTGAGGCAGGATCTCCCTGTATAAATGATATAAGCTGGCTTTGCACTTGAAATGCTGTTGGGCTTAGAGTCCTGTAGTCCCACATTCAGATATGCATTTTGGTGAATGAGATTATTGGAATTTTCCAAATTCGTTCTCAGATAGCTACAATTCTGTTTTATTAGAATCAATGCTACAGTCTTAAATATGAGAAGTTTGTAGGGCCAGAAACTGGTATTTAGAACATAAAAAAAAACCAGAAACCAGCAAGTAACATTTTATTTTTCAATAATCAGTGCTGAAAAAGTTGACTAAATAGAAACATCTTTAAAAACAGATCTAGATCGTAATGAATCAGCATAACAGCATATGTCCCAGCCCCCAGGAGGCAGAGGCAGGTGAATCTCTATGGATTTTTAGGTCAGTATTTAGAACATTTTAAAGAAAAGATAACTCTCAACGTTAGGCATAGCTTGACCTAAAATGTATATACTGCTTAGACATTAAGACCTTATTTCCTTCCCCATCCATCTTTTTCTGGCACCACTCCCTGCAGAAACCATGTAAGAATGTGGAAGTATTACGCTGTCATTCAAAAGTTCAATGGAGAGTGAGCTGAAGGCTCAACAAACCTTGTCAAATGTAACACATTTTTACAAGTCTCATTTAAGATGACAAAATTCATTACAATGTCATAAGGAAATAGCAAGATGAAATGAAAAAAAATAAAAGAACAGAAGCGAACAAACAAAAATATTTTAGTGTAGAGAACTAAAAGCTCTTTGCAGAATTTTCCATCTGGAACCCAAGAGCCTGCTGTGACTTAGTCGACATTAGTCCCCTCATAAATGACTCGGGCGCCATCCTGAAAAATAATACTGCCAACTGTGTCGCAGAAAAAGAATCCATCAGCTTCGTTTGTAGGGCACCAGACACCTTTAAGGAAAGAGACAGGACCTAAGGTCTTATGAGAAGACTCGATATTTTGGTTGCTGTTTATATTTGAAGGACTGTTAAGAACAACTAAAGTGATGGACCTGCTTCTGCTGTCTTCTGGTGGTAGACTTCCAATGGGAGAGGAGACCTCTGAGATCTGTCAGGTGAACTCCTGCGGGCTAGAATAGACAGGGGCTTGAGGGGGATCCTCCTCCTCCTCCTCTTATTGTTTCTCCTCTGTTCCTCTTTATTTTTTCTGAGGCCGACTCTAATGTAAGCCAGGCTGGCCTCAAATTCACCACATATCTGAGGATGACCTTGAGCCTCTGATCCTCTTTGTGTCCAGTTTCCAAGTGTTGGGATTGTAGGCCTGTACCACCATGTCCGGCTGCTGGGCATTGAACTCAGGGCTTCAGCGTTCAAGGCAAGCACCCCACCAGCTGAGTGAGCTCCAGCCTAGTTCTGAAGCCCGCTTTCTCATGGGAGGGGACTGAGGCATGAGATCGGGGCGCTTGTCCGCTGCAGAGAAGGTGAAGTCTGGGGAAGAAGCACCTTGTTCTTACCAGGGCTTTGCTGCGGCAGCGGAACAGGTAGCACGAAGGTGTCCGTGAGCATACAGCGCACACTTAGTTACACATGGCTACAACAGGGCGTGGGTGTCACGGCCTCAACTTGCTCGATGATGACATTGGGAAGTTGGCCTCTGGCCCAGGAATTCTGAGCAGAGCCAAACATTGTGAAACGCTCAGAGGCTGCTAACTGCTGCCACCTTCAAGGAGAACCAGAGGGAAGAAGCCTGAGAGGCACTCGGCCTGGACCCTGGAGGTGCCTGCAGAGTCAGGCCGTTTGCCTTATTGTTTCTTCAATAACCTTTTGCAAATGTAAAAAACAAACCAACCAATCAACAAACAAAAAACAAAACAAAGCAATTTTTCTATCAGATGCGGCTCTCCAGCTGTCTGTCTAGCTTTCCCCTATAGTCTTCACTGTGAATCTGCAAATTGCTCGTCTTCGTTTCCCTTAGGTCTTTCTTACGCGGGCTTCTTGCTTGTGGGACCCCTAGTGGGATCAGAGGACGTCTGCCAGCGAGGCCGTTTTCTGGGAGCCATCCTAGAACACCCTGGACTCTAGGAACTCTGGCGTCTGAAGAGGGACTCTCTGTCCTGACTGTGCATGCACGCTGGGTCCCCGCGTCCCCGCGTCCCTGCATCCCCGTGTCCCGCATCCTCCTCTTCACTCCTTTCTTTTCAGTTTCTCCCACTGCTTGTTTGCGCAGGCTCCTTCCTTTCTTAGCTTACCTCCCTGGGTGGGACCCTCTGCACTGCTCCCTGAGCTGGCAGGACTGGCTGACCTGGACCGCCTTTCTTTGCGTGGTTGGTGGTGAGAGCAAGATGTAACCCTTATGACATAAATCACTTGGTGAACGGCAAGCCTCCTGGCAGGATAGTTGTTACGATCTTTTAGGTATTGCAGTAAAAAATGAAGTTCAGTGCACAGAAGACGGGTTCTTCTTTTGGTCCCAGATGCAGTCTTGTCTTGATGTTTTGTTTCTCAGCCCCGACTGCGGTGTATTTTCTGGGCAATTTCTCCTTCTCTGTCATTCCTGTTTACCTACTCTCTCTCATTTCCTCAGTGCCATTGTAGGGACAAATACATTTTATTTGTGAAACACATCAAAGCTAGGATGTTACTGGACAGCAGATCTGAATGTAATACACATCAGGGAAGATCATATATTATCTAGAGACTCCACTGTAGAGTTTAATAGGCATCTCTAGCCGGGCGGTGGTGGCGCACGCCTTTAATCTCAGCACTCGGGAGGCAGAGGCAGGCGGATCTCTGTGAGTTCGAGGCCAGGCTGGACCGACAGCCTCCAAAACAATACAGAGAAACCCTGTCTCGTAAAAACCAAAAAAATAAAAAAAAAATAGGCATCTCTAAAGGTCACTGGGTAGGGAGATTTTTCCAAGCCTTGCACATATGGTGTCTACCTATGTCACTGACTTACTGGGTAAGCCTTAACATAGCATCTAGAGGGCACTTAATAAAAATATTTACTCAGGGCATGGAGGTTCAGGGATAGGTTCTGTTTCAAAGAAGGAAGTATGAGCAGCAATCACAATTCCAGCACGGTTAGAGGAGAGTCATAAAGCCCCACCCCCTAGCCGAGAAGCTGTTTGGAGAGTTATTTTTTTCCTCATGGGCGTGGCCACTGGTAGGTTGTTGATATAGCAGTGAAAAGGCCCTGTCACATCAGAGTGTGACTTGTTGAGAGGGCTCTGGGGGAGCAGAGGAAGGGACTGGATGTTGTTGTAGGTTTTCTGAGTGAAAAGACAGGATACTGACGGGTCTTTGGGAAAACAGCTTTAATGTGGATACACAGACTCAGATGAGCTCTGTTTTGTAAAGAAACCGAGTGATGAACACAGTAAAATAGGGATTTTTATAATGCTTTCTTTGCCTCCGTGTATTGGTGACTTATAATTGTGTTAGTTACTTTATAGCCTTAAGGTTAAGATTCCATTGAAGGCCTGGAGGGCCACTTGGTCTCCCATCAGAGTCTTGGCAGAGATTAAATCGCATAGCTGTGTCTCTGTCCTTCCTCCAAGGTCTCTGGGTAGGCTTATTAGGCAAGGGTGGGGTTGCAGAAGAGATGTGGTCAAGTTTATGGGTATCCAAGGACATTGCTTGGCTCTTGTGGCTATTTTCTCTTCCCTATCAAGAATCACTATCACAATATGTCAAGATACATTGTTCCCATGTATGGAATTCTCAAAAAAGTATATTTTTTTTAAAAAAGCAAGCCATTCAGCATTCCAGCATGGATAGAGAAAGGGCTTGTGAAAACCCTATCCCTTACTGAGGAGCTATTTTCATTTGAAAGACGTTGCGGATGAAGAGTCATTTTTCTGTGTGTGTGTGTGTGTGTGTGTGTGTGTGTGTGTGTGTGTGTGTGTGTGTGTAGGCTGACTGTGTTCCAGTGGATGGCTCACACCGGTGTATTTCTGGGCAACAACAATTGGATGCAGTGAGTTACTAAAAAAAAAAGAGAGAGAGAGAGAGACAAAGGTTAGAGAAGGGTGTGTGTGGGAGGTGCTGAAGGAGTGGGAGGGTGATTTAGGGATATATATATATATATATATATATATATATATATCAAGATACATTGTGTCCGTGTGTGAATTGTCAAAGAATAAATGAAAATATTGTAAAGGAGAGAGGAAGGGATGGAGGGAGGGAGGGAGAGAGAGAGGCAGAGAGAGAGAGAGAAAGGCAAAGAGAGAGAGAGAGAGAGAGAGAGAGAGAGAGAGAGAGAGAGAGAGAGAGAGAGAGAGAGAGGCAATCTGCAAAAGAGGGTGCTCCCTAACACTCTGGAGTATCTTCTGCTAACATTTGCCTGCCCCTGACGGTAGCAGAATAGACAAATGCAAGTTATACAAATTGAGGCAGGTGTCACTGGGCTGGGAGTGATTTGCATGTCTAAGGAGAAGGTAATTTTTTTTTTTATCATTTCAAGTTTGGAACTTTGCTGCTAGTTGGACTTTTTCGTGAATCCAGGGTTGAGAGTTTCCATGTCTTTGATCCCAACGATGACAGTTTGCCTGTAGATTCTGTCTCTTCCTGTGCCTGTGTCTCTGTGCTCTGGAGCCTGACTGAAACAGTTCCTCCCTCAACAGGATGCCCTCCACACCCACACTGATCTTCATGACCATCTTTTGCCTGGTGTCACTGGCGTCTATGTTGCAGAATGGCTTCCTGATCATCGTGCTGGGCCGGGAGTGGGTGCAGAACGGGGTGCTGTCAGCTGCGGACATGATTGTGGCCTCTCTTGCTTCCTCCCGGTTTTGCCTGCATGGGCTAGCCATCCTGAACAATCTCTTGGCCTCTTTTGGCTTTTGCTACCACGCAAACCTTCTTGGCATCCTCTGGGACTTCACCAACACTTTAATTTTGTGGCAGACCGCCTGGCTGGCCATCTTCTACTGTGTGAAGATCTCCTCCTTCTCCCACCCTGTACTCCTTTGGCTCAAGTGGAGGATTTCCCAGTTAGTTCCTAGGCTGCTGCTGAGCTCCATCATCATGGGTGGCCTGTCAGCCGTCGTATCAACTACCGGGAACATCTTTGCTATTCAGATGATCATCTCCCGGGCTTCCCTTGGAAACTGCACTCTTGGCCACATGACTCTGGACTTCTTTCGGTACTGGTACTTGTCTCACGCAGTACTTATGTGGCTCACTCCTTTCTTCCTGTTCCTAGTGTCTATTCTCTCCCTCATGTTCTCACTGTGCCGGCACATGGAGAAGATGAGGGACCGTAGGACCGGGCCTCGTGATTTCCGTATCCAAGCTCACACCATGGCTCTGAAATCCCTTACCTTCTTCTTCATTTTCTATATATTATTTTTCCTGTCCCTGATAATTTTTGCCACGAAAGTCAAAACCATGCAGAGTCACTGGTATTGGGCCAGAGAAGTCACCATCTACATGGGCATCTCTTTGAACTCCATCATCCTGGTGTTTAGCAACCCCAAGCTGAGAAAGACCCTGAAGATGAGATCTTAGGGCGCACACGCTACCCAACCATGAACTTTGAAGGCCTTGAACCAGACGTGTCTTTTTCTTTCAAGTGATTGGCGTCAGTACTGGGACAAATGAATTCGTGTGTAGCAAGAATTAAAAAGGTTTGGATGCACTCCCGTTTCCTTCTCTCTTTTCAACTTCTGCCACGATCCACATTCTTTTCCCCCTAACTCTCCATGTTTCCTTTGTCCCCTTCATTTCTGGTAGTTCCTGGTCTGAGTTCCAAATCGCTCAGGCTTTTCTTAGCCAATAGCCTCAGCTTCTGGGGGGGGGGCTCCTGTGGCTCTCTCCATGAAAGCAATCCAAAGCCTATTCTCCGAGGCTCATTTCTGTTTGTACTCCCTTAATGAAGACATGTATCCTTTATCTGTTGTTTCCATGACACAGATTCCTGCATGCCACCCATCTTGTCACCCCCAACTGTCCCCCTCAGCCACTGCTCTGCTGAGCCCAGTCTCTTTCTCTTCTTCCTTCTTTTCTCTCTCTTCCCAACCTTTGCCACCACCCACCCTCATCATTTGTACCCTGGATAAAGCTGATGCCACCAAAGGGCCCTTTTCAGGTTGACCTAGGAGACTGAGGGCGGTAGGAGTCTGTGCTACTGTAGATCCTGTCCGAGACCTCATGTTCAGTTAGTTTGCACTGTCTGATGTGAAAAGATACTGTTTGTGCTGGACATCCAGCCCTGGGCACCGCCCATGCTCGATGAGGACTTGAAGATGGAACTGTCTCCTCATGTCTTGGTGTTTTGAGAGCAGTTCTCATGTAGCTTCAGGCTGCCCCCAATTCTCCTGCCTCAGCATTCCAAGGGCTTTGGCTATAGGCAAGGACCAAGCTACATGGCAACTGTTGATTTTGCTAATCTTACTTCTGCCTGTCTTGCCCAAGGGACACTTCCTGGATACTGTTGCCGAGGTTAGCATTCTCCAGACTGGAGTTTGGGAAAAAAAGACTTACTGGGAGTGGAAATAAAAATGTGACCATTTCCATTTCAACTAGTTTATATGTTAAGTTCCTATCTCTCTGTGTGTTTCACAGTGCATGTAACACATCGATGAAGTACACATGATGATAATAAATATGCATATAAGTGTGTCTTGGTTGGTTTAGGCTCTGTAACAGAGTGTCGTAGACTCAGTGACTATTTCGCATGGTGCTAGAGTCCGAAATATGGAGTGCCAGCATGGTTGGGTTCTGGTGACACCCTTCTTCCTGGTTGCAAGCATCTGTCTGTACACTAATGTGGCAGAGGGGACTCTGGGATCCTTTTATAGTCCAACTTTTCAGCTAGAGACACCTTCATGGCCTTTGGTGAATCCTTGACAGAACTCAAACATATCTGGTCATACTTGATACATGTGCATTTATTTTAAAGTTATTATTATTTTTAGTGTGTGTGTGTGTGTGTGTGTGTGTGTGTGTGTGTGTGTGTGCCTGCAAAGGCCAGGAGGCTACAGTCATGGGCTGTGCTAGCCTGCTGACACGTGTGCTAATTCCAGGGTCCCTGAAGGAGCACCAAGCACTGAGCACTCCTTAACCATAAAATTGTCTTTCCATGTTGCACAATCGTGTTTCTTCCTTACTGCCTCACTCTTCTGGAATACAGCACACCACTTTGCTCATCTCCACAACGTAGCTGAACGGCGTTTCAACATTTATTTGTGTTGGGGGCGGGCACGTGACACGGTAGGCTGTGGAAGCCAGAGGACGGCTTTCAGAAATAGGTTTTCTCCTTCCACCGTATGGGGCTTGGGGATGAAACTCAGGTTCTTAGGCTTGGCAGCAGGTGCCTCTACTTGCTAAACCACATAGCCAGCCCTGCTGAACCCTTCTAAGAGTTCTTGGGAATGCAGATACATAGCATTTAAAAGGCAGCATTCAGGTCTCTGTTTTCTCTTTGAACCTTTCCAGTGCAGAGCACTGAGTTGGGAATTTCTGTTCAGAACGCCAACCTAGTCTCCTACCAAACTACTTTCATATTTACACTTATACAGACAGACCGTGAGTCAACAAGTGGTGGCGCACGCCTTTAATCCCAGCACTCGGGAGGCAGAGGCAGGAGGATCTCTGTGAGTTTGAGGCCAGCCTGGTGTACAGAGTGGGTTCCAGGACAGCCAGGACTACACAGGAAAACCCTGTCTTGAAAAAAACAAGAGTATGAAAAACTTGAGATTATCAGACTTTGTGTCTACCTAAAATCTAAATCTAAACAAGAGAAAGCAAAATGTCATAGATACAAGAATGATGGAAATCACCCTAGAATATGACGCTGCAGAGATAATTTAATGGTTAAGAGCACACACTGCTCTTGCAGAGGACTTCGATTCAGTTCCTAGCATCCATATGGTAGTTCACAACCATCTGTAACTCCAGTTCCAAGGGGTCTGATATGTTCTCCTGACTTTTAGGCAGGCAGGCATACACATGGTGCACACACACACCACACACACACACACACACATACACACATACACACATACCACACACACACACACCACACACACACACGCACCACACACACATACACACACACACAAAGCACTCCTACGCACAAAATACAGTAAGTAAATATTAAAAACACACCATATATTTAAATACATTAATTATTTAAATATGAGACTACTCACCTGTTTGAAAGAATTTAATTTGCACATAATATATGCGCAGTAAATGCTTGTGGTTTATGATTTGTGCATGAAAGCACTTTGATGGCTGTTGGAGCCCAGTGCTTGTCATACCCTCATTATGGAATAGGAGATGCTTACAAATAACTGTTAAATCAATTGAGGTTAATTATACATCCTTAACCTTATGAGCCATCGATGGTGTAGGAGGTGGAAGGAAGATAGGAGTTTTCCGAACTTCAAGGTTTGTGGCTGCACAAACTCCAGAGTCGGAAGACCCAGTCTGTCTCATTTCTCCAGGCTCCAGTAGTAGAACACAGCCAAGAGTCAGCCAGAGAGACCAGGACACAAAGAAGGAAGCTTGGAGCGCTAGTCCCTGGAAACTGGTATTTTCACAAGAAGGCAGGGTCACTGTGTCAGTTTTGTGTGCCTTCCTTCCTTCCTTTACCCTTGAGATAGGATCTCTTACCCTTGATGCACTATGCCAGCCAGCCAGCCCTGAAGCTTTAATCAGCAAAGAAACAGGGATCTAGACGGAATCTGTACTTGCTAGGGTGGAATAGGATGGAGGTGCAAGTTATGTTGCTAGTTCTGGTGAAATGGGCCTGGTAACTTGAGGCTTCTTCTTCTTCTTCTCCTTCTCCTTCTTCTTCTTCCTTTGGTTTTTTGAGACAGGGTTTCTCTGTGTATCTTTGGAACCTCTCCTGGCACTTGCTCTGTAGACCAGGCTGGCCTCGAACTCACAGAGATCCGCCTGCCTCTGGCTCCCCAGTGCTGGGATTAAAGGCGTGCGCCACCAACGCCCTGTTGAGGCTTCATTTCTTTTATCTATGAACCCAACCTTGATGTCTTCGTGTAGCCACATCCAGTCTCCCAGGAAAGTCTGTGTACTAGAATCTCACATTACAGAGATGGACACGAGGAAACGGAGGGCTCACTGGCATGACCAAACCCGCACAGTGATGAGTGGGGCTTGGGTTGAATCTGCCTCTGAGAAAGCCTCTCACTGCCTATCCCATTGGCCTGTAGCTCTCTTGGTGAGATACCATTGTGAAGGTCACTCTGACAGAATATTGTCTTAATTTTTGAGAGAAACTCCCTGCTTCATTCTGTGTCTCTCTCACTCTGTCCTGGGATGCTGAATCCTCAACCGATTAGAGCTAAGCTCTCTCAAGAGAGAAGTTTGCATCAGCTTCTGGCTCTGTGCCAAAGGGATATTCTTACTGTACCTCTTTCATAGACGTGCCATAAGAACTAAATATTGGGGTCGGGGGGGTTTGGGGCAGCTAGAACAGTGTCTAGAACCTAACAATCACCCATCCCCCTCCCTCCATCATGGTCATGATCTCGGCTATTCAGTAGGATGCATGCTCTGTGGATTTTATTACCAAGTAGCTCCAGGTGTGTGATCTTAGGTATCAGCTTAGGGAAGCATTGCTGCCTATGTAAGAGACACCATATGCAAGGGCCCGATACATTATTCACACTGACGTTGACAGTAGGTAAGGGATAGGTAAGAGATCAGGCAAATTCATAGGCAGGCAGGGAGACTTTGGAAACTCAGCCTTGGCAACATTTGCATCTGTTCTGAAGAGAAGAAACATTTTTTTTTTTATCCTCCTGAGAGAGCCTGCATCCTCCCTCTGGCTTCACTTCTCCATCTAGGGCACGCGGAGAGACAAACATATTGGAGAGACTCCTTAGAGCAACAAATAGCTCTTCATGGGACCCATCATGTCCACCGGAGAAATGGGCACAGGTCACACAGTTCTGGGATGTCACACTGCTGATAAGGCAGTCATCACCTTGTTTATCGTTTTAGTTCTGTCGTGCCTGGTGGCAGTGGTAAGCAATGGGTCTATCATTATAGCACTAGGCACGAAATGGTTGCTCCGGAGAACACTGTCCACTCATAATAAGTTACTGATCAGTCTAGCAGCCTCTCGCTTCTGTCTTCAATGGGTGGTGATAGGTAAGAATGTTTATGTTTTCTTGAATCCAACAGTCTTCCCATACAACTCTGTAATGCAGCTCCTAAATTTGATATGGGATTTCCTGACTGCTACAACCATCTGGTTCTGCTCCTTGCTAGGCTTCTTCTATTGTGTGAAAATTGCAACCTTAACCTACCCTGTCTTTGTCTGGCTAAAGTACAGGGTGCCCGGGTGGGTACCATGGATGTTGCTCAGTGCTGTGGGGATGTCAAGCTTAACTAGCATCCTGTGTTTCATAGGCAATTATCTGATATATGACAACTTTGTAACGAGTGCCCAGCAACCTCGGAATGTCACTGGGAATAGCTTAAAAGACACCCTTGAGCAATTCTACTTCTTTTCTGTAAAAGTGATCATGTGGACTATCCCTACTGTTACCTTTAGCGTTTTCATGGCTCTGCTCCTTGTGTCTTTGGTAAGACACATGAAGAAGACCCTCTTGGCCTCCTCAGGACTCCAGGATGTCAGAGCACAGGCCCACATGAAGGCTCTCCTCACCCTCCTCTCCTTCTTCGTCCTTTTTATCTCCTGTTTCCTGTCACTGGTGCTTGGTGCCACCAGCAACTCGCCATTTCAGGAATTCAGGTACTGGATGTGGCAGGTGGCGATCCACCTGTGTACAGTGATACATCCCATTGTTATACTCGCCAGCAACCCTGGCTTGAGAGCGGTGGTGAAGAGGGATTGCTGCTGAGCCTACTGGGCACCCTGAGCGCCAGTGGACGGCAGAAGGCACGAGATCAACAGACCACAGCTGCTTCTTCTCCTTTTCTCTCTTTTTATGTTGCGTTTGGTATTTATTCCTGGTGTGCTGCACACACTGATAATAAGTGAATGGCCTCAGTGCAATAAGACTCAAGGTGCGCTCCGAGAACCTGAAAATGAGCGGTCCCACCATGTTATCTGTGGGACTTGGTGAAGGACCAGAGAGTTCTGACAATTCACCGTGATATCTCTCTTGGAGGTTAAAATTATTCTCTGGGGATTGCGTGAAGGGACCCTCACGAGCCACATGATAGCTCCTGTGCCGAGCCAGACTGGAGGAGACGCTTGTGACTTCTCTCTTTCCTCCTCTGGAGTCATCCTGTGAACCAATCTTCCCTTTCCACGACTTCTCGGGAGCTTAGCCATTTGCCACGGAGATTTCTTTGCCTCGTCAGAGACAAAACTAAGACAGTCCTGATCTGAATTCTCCAGACAGACCCTGGTTTGCTTGGTGCTTGGGCCACCTAGAATGTTTATAGTCTCAGATGATCTTCTGAGACTCCTCTGAATGCCCAGGGTCTTGGATCTGTTTGTCATCAAAGTCCTTTGCAATGGCCTGGTTTCTGAGTCTCTTCTGTAAATTCTAAGGTTGTGGGTCAGATTTACCTTATTTTGTACTGAGGCTTTTGTTGTGGACAAGACCTTCTATATTGATGGAACTTAGAACAGAAGGACTCTTGGTTTGGCGAGGAACTGCGGACTACATTTCTGCTTCTCTCTCTTCTTATTTTTATTTAAATTAGAAACAAGCTTGCTTCACAAGTCAATCCTAGCTTCCTCTGCCTCCCCTCCTCCGCCACCCCCAATCAACCCTCAACCTCCCATCCCATCCCCCTCTCTGCTTCCCAGGGAGGGTGAGGCCCTTCATGGGTGATCTCTAAAGTCTGTCATATCATCCAGGGCAGGGCCTACAGCCTCCCCCATGTGTCCACTCTGACAGAGCATCCCTCCATGTGGAATAGGCTCTCAAAGTCCACTTGTACGCCAGGAATAAATACTGATCTACTACCCGAGGTCCCATCACTGGCATCCACCTTCAGGGGGTCTGGATCAGTCCCATTCTGACCTCTCAGCCATCAGACTGGGGTCCATGAGCTCCCCCTTGTACAGGTCAGCTGTTTTTGTGGGTTTCACCAGGCTGGTCTTGACCCCTTTGCCCATCACTCCTCCCTCTCTGCAACTGGGTTCCAGGAGTTCAGTTCAGTGTTTAGCTGTAGGTGTCTGCCTCTGCTTCCATCAGCCATTGGATGAAGGCTCTAGGATGGCAAAAAAGGTAGTCATCAATCTCATTATCAGGGAAGGATTTCTGCTTCTTTTAAGAGGCCGTCTTGTCTCAAGCCTTCCCTACACCCAGTTATCTCTTGAGCAGCTTAGATGGACATCTCTCAGCTTGTGGTCCCTTGAACACTTCTCAGGCAGATTTACTTTCTGTTTGTGGCTGCTCTTCCCAGCTTCTCTGCATTAGAAGAGAAATCCCTGATTTGGATTTTACAGATTGACATGTGTGTACCTACCCATACTTCTCCTTTCTAGTCCTTCAGCTAAGACAAAAATTTCCTCTCACACAAAGTTTCAACCATTCGCTCTTTCCTTCTTTAACAAATACTCTTCTAAAGTTCTGTTTCTGAAAAAAAAGCCACTCCCTCCTTCCCCCAACTTCTGCATTAAGGGACCAGCTGCCAGCCATCTCCTTGTTGAGCTAGCCTCTGCTCCTCCCGCCATGCTATTGAAGTGTGTTTCTGCAAGGGCACATAGAGTTGCCTACTCATTTTGTATTATTCCAGACAGCTTTTTGTCATCTCTTCTCTGGATAGCAAATGATTTCTTAGGAAAGCTGATTTCGTTTTTAACCAAAAGTTCTTAGTAAGCCTGGTTACTAAGGGTTAAAAAGGGTTTTAAAAAAAGACCGAAAATATGTTTAGTTATGATCTATGCCCTTTATCTTATCCAGTCCAACCCCTCTGCCTCCTATGGGCATTACTCATACGGCCTCAGATATGGCCTTCACACATAGCAACTTCAGATTCCTTCTGTGTTCTTCCCTTGGGTTTCTGATAGCTCCCTCCATTGTCCTGGGGAATCTGTTGTTCTGCTACCCCAATGGAGGGAAAATCAGACTTCTGAGTTTTCATTCCCTATTTGCTATCTGAACAAAGCTGGCGTAAGAACAACACTGTTGGCACGCTGATGTGGACAGGGGAAAATCCCACGTTGTCCAACCTTTAGAACTACAGGTGGCCACTGGGAAAGGGAGACTCAGTTGCCTCCAGGGATGAACTCCATATAGGTTGTCTAAACCCAAGAGGTCAGCCCTGAGCATAGCAAAACTGAATAGATGCAGTAGGTTATGCGCGCGCATACACACACACACACAGACTTAAAAGACCATGAATTTGGTAATGGGGACATGGGTGGCATTTTAGGTGGAAGATGAAGGGACAGGAGTAAAACATATGCATTTCTCATTGTCCTGTCCAATTTTATGTTGATGTGACACAAGCCAGCGTCATCTGAGAGAAGGGAACCTCAGTTGAGAAAATTCTTCCATAAGATCAGGCTGTAGGCAAGCCTGCAGGGCGTTTTCTTAATTGGTGGTTGATGTGGGGATCCCAAACTATTGTGGATGGTGCCATCCCTGGGCTGGTGGTCCTGGGTGCTGTAAGAAAGCAGGCTGAGCAAACCAGTAGGCAGCGTCTCTCCACGGCCTCTGCATCAGTTCGTGTCTCCAGGTTCCTGCCCTGTTTGAGTTCCTGTCCTCACTTCCTTTGATGATGAACAGTGATGCGGAAGTGTGAGCCGCATAAGTACTTTCCTCCCCTAGCTGCTATTAGTCATAGTGTTTCATCACAGGAATAATAACCCCAACTAAGATACCCATGTATGAAGAGCTCAAGAAAGGTGAAATTATTAAAGAAGAAAGAAGGCTCATATGTGCCCCTGTGCTACCAAGATGTCTGAGAAGGTCAGTTGAGCTCGTGGAGCGATGGAGGAAGAGTCTGTGAGGTCGTCAATTAGACCTACTCCTGAAGTGGGAAACAATGTTTTACACAACAAGTTGCACGCAAAAGGGAAAGGGGGCAGTTGGGGAGGTGGTTCCCTAGGTAAGAGTATTTGTTCCAAAGGGTCAGATCCCTGGCCCTCACATAAGAACCTGGGTGTGGCCACTTGTGTGCCTGTAGCCCCAGCACCTGGTCAGGGGAAGAGACAAGGGCTTGTTGGGCTTGCTGGCAACCAACCCAAGCCCAGGTTCAGGGAGATACATTGTCTCAAGGGAATGAGGAGAAGAGTAACACCTGAGGTCCTCCTCTGACCTCTGTACACTCATACACAAGTGGACACGCGCGTACACACAAACACGCGCAAACACGCGCGCGCACGCATTCACACACACATGCACACACACGCATACAGTACATGCACACACATGCACACACGCATGCACACACACATACACACACATACACACACACACACACACACACACACGCACATGTTCTTTCCCGACTAGCTCTCTAGCACCATATATATAATATAAAATTGCCAATTGGTGAAGTTAAGCAATAGTTTATCAGCGCTTGAAGATATTAATAAATGCTATCTTAAAGAAAATGTCCCTCATATGTATGTTTACCTTAAAAAGATTTATTTTTAATTTGTGTGTATGAGGGTTTTGCCTGAATGTATGTCTTTGCACCATGTGTGTATATTGCCTGTGGAGACAAGAAGAGGGTGTCAGATTTTTTGAGAACTGGAGTTATAAACAATTATGAGTTCCCATGTGGGTTCTGGGAATCAAACCTGGGTCCTCTGAAAGAGAAGCAAGTGGTCATAACCATTGAGCCTTCTCTCCAGAGCCTATAGACTTTTTTGAGGTAGGGTCTCATGTAGCTCAGCCAGACAGAACTATTATGGAGCTGAGGACAACCTTCTGTCTTTACTTCCAAGTGTTGAATGTTTCTATATTGGAAGGTGGAAAGTTATTAGAAACGTGGTTTGAGAAAAATAGTACAATACGTGGATTTTTGATTGTTTTCAGGATGTGTGTTAATAATGATGCATGAACTGTCAGTGTATCTTGACACAACCAATAAAATATCGGTTACGAAAGAACTAGCCTCGGGCATTTTATTATTGCAACACTATTAGACTTAAGATGGCTACCATTACCACACTAATCTCTGGAAGGCACGGCTCTGATCTCTTTCAAGAATACCTAAGCATGTCTTGGTGTCTGTCAGACAAAACACAGGCCTCTGGAATTGGCGTTCAAATGCTGTTACAATCTGGTAACAGCTTCCAGGAAAATCCTTTATTCCAGTGAATTTGGGTTGTCATTGTGATGGGTGAACCTGAAGCTATATCCTGTCACTGGGAAATGTTTCCCTATACCTCCTACCTGTCAGAATCCCATTCAACACGTTGCTTTTTTTCTTTGACTTTTAAAGGATGGTCCATATGCCACTTCTCCTTCTGAAACCTGTCTGAATATTCCCCAAGCCTCGATCTTTCCCACTTTTGAGGACACGTGAGTTGGGTTTCTCCAGTTGTGACCTGAATTCTGTCTCGTGGGGTCATTATTTGTATGCTGTGTACTTCCTAGGAGATGTTAACTTTTAAAGGAATGGGGGATTCATGCTCTTCTGCATGGCCCCTGAAGTGTGTATATAAGCACTTGCTGCCTTAAACAGATGGACCACTGCACCCCGAAAACCAACTATGACACACGCGCACATGCGCACACACACACACACACACACACACACACATGCACACACACACACACACACTTGCCTGCACATTTATGTGTGAGCCGCCTGTGACTCAATGACTAGGTTTAGGCTGCAACCCTATTATTAAGTCATTGGCTTTCCACCCCAATTAAATGTTTTCCACATAAGAGTTGCCACGGTCACTAGGGAAATGTCCAGA